CCGGCCCCAGCCCTTGGGCAGCCGCTACCCCCCCGCTGCTCCTATCCGGTCCTCCCTCGCCGCCACAGTTCCGGGCGCCCAGGTCCTCCCCGCCTCCGCAGTGCGGGGCGCGCTGGGGATGGAGGGGGTGATCTGTCCGTCGGGGAATGGTGGCCGCGGACGGACGGGGACAGCTGCCGGGGCTGGAGGCGTCAGTCGGGCACCGGCAGCCTGGACTGGGCACTCGGCGGGGCTCCCCCCGCGGCACAGGGCGCCCCGTCGAGACTGGCGGCGGGGGGCGAGCGTGGGGGTCCCGGCCCTCCCGTCCCGTCCCTGCCCGCGGGTTCTGGCAGCGGCGAAGCGGGCCGGGGCAGCTCTTTAAACTGGGCAGTCACTGTTGCCCTCGCCTGGGGCCGGGGCTATATTTAGCTGCTCGGGAAGGGGCCGGGGCCGTGCCAGAAGGTGTATCGCAGCGCCTCGCCTGCCGCAGCGCTGACCGTGCTCTACTGAGGACCCTGCCCCGGGCCTGTCCCCACTCCCGGTGGGCTGAGGCTGCCCCCGGCCCTCCCGGTGGGGCAGGAGGACTTCTCCTCCGCTGGCACTGGGACGGGGCACGGACCCCATCACAGCTCGCAGCACTGTGCTGTCGAGGAATGAAGGAGCAAGGAGCCCCAGGACCCCTGGGCAGAGTCCTGGTGTCCTCCTCCGGGAGCAGGGATGCTAGGGCTAGCAGAGGATGGATGCCAGGGGTAGTGGAGCAGGCCTGCACCAGCAGGATGGGAGTGCAGGAGGCACATCTCCAGCTCACAGCCTTCTGCCCACATGGTTTTGCCGCACAGGATGGGACTGCGTAGCTTGAAGTATATCTGTGCTGCCTTGGAGACTGCTAGGCTTCACCCCCAGCCCTCCCTGGCTGCAAACCACTGCCCCTGCATTCCCAAGACCCCTCACCCCAGGAGGCTGAGTGCTTACCTGGCTCTGGAGAATCAAGTAGGGGGGTTTCCCTATACTGTTTGCACTGCATGGGTTAAGTACATACTCCCCATCAGTTGAGCACCTTGCTGGGCTGCTGTAGTCTGGAGAAGGAGGCGGTAGTGTGGTGGGTGCAGGGGACCTGGGCCACCTCTGCTCCATGTGCTGCTGGAGGACAGCCCTGGCCAGAGTCCTTGGGGTTGGTGGACCCCAGCAGGAGGGACACCAGAGCTGGCTCACAACCCAGCAAGATGCCTGTCCAAGGCTGAGGACAATGAGAGCCCTGTTGGGCCCCTCAGGAGCATGCAGGAGGTCACCCAAAGGAGCATGTGCTCTCTGGGACCACTGGCAGCTCCTATGCTGGTGGCTGTGTGGCACTGGCACAGGCAGATCCTTGCTGAGGTAGGTAGGACAGAGCTATGCTGGGATCTGACCCTTCCTCCCCCTCTGCAGCGCGAGTGCATTTCCGTCCATGTCGGCCAAGCCGGCGTCCAGATGGGAAACACATGCTGGGAGCTGTACTGCCTGGAGCACGGCATCCAGCCGGACGGGCAGATGCCCAGCGACAAAACCATCGGTGGAGGGGATGACTCCTTCACCACCTTCTTCTGTGAGACCGGGGCTGGGAAGCACGTCCCACGGGCCATCTTCGTGGACCTGGAGCCCACTGTGATTGGTGAGTGCTGGAGTTTGCATGGCCTGGGGTGCACCCATGGGTGGGTAGCAAGCAGCTGGTACTTGTGGTCTGCTGTCAGCATCCTGTACTGGGTTCAACATGAGGGCCCTTGTTTCCCCAGGAAAAGCCACAAGCCTGAGCACCAGCTTTTGTTCTTGAAGTGTCCTAGAGGCAGCGGTGCTGGTAGTCTCCGCTACCACATGTGCACAGAAAGAAACCAGCCCAACCGGAACTGCAGCTCCCACTGTGCCGCTGCAGCTCCCGATAGTGGGAGAACCTGAGCTCCTGTGCAGGGAGGTGACAGCCACCTCCTGCCAGAGAAACCTGATGCGGGTGGTGGCCCTGGTGACTTGTGGGTCCTTGGACATGGCCCTGGCAGGCAGAGCATGGATGAGGGATGGGTGCTCACACATGCTCCCCTGCTTGGCGCACAGCTCAAACCAACAGCCTCTGCCAGGCTCAACTCTCCCCTGTCTCCCCCAGATGAAGTTCGGGCTGGAATATACCGTCAGCTCTTCCACCCAGAGCAGCTGATCACCGGCAAGGAGGATGCTGCCAACAACTACGCCCGTGGGCACTACACTATCGGCAAGGAAATCATTGACCAAGTGCTGGACAGGATCCGGAAGCTGGTAGGTGACTGCAGAGGGGGTACATGTCCCCCTCTGGCTGAGATCCAGCATCGTGCTTGGGCTCAGAGCACACTGCAAACCCTGCTGTGCCCTGAGAGGTATCTGGAGCAGCCCATGGCAGGGTTGGACCAGGTCCTGAAGGGCCTCTGAACCATCTGGTATTCACAAATAAATCCATCTCAGAGCAATTTCACATTTCTCTCTGCAGGCTGACCAGTGTACAGGCCTCCAGGGGTTCCTCGTGTTTCACAGCTTTGGAGGTGGCACCGGCTCCGGATTCACCTCCCTGTTGATGGAGCGACTCTCCGTTGACTATGGGAAGAAGTCCAAGCTGGAGTTCTCCATTTACCCAGCACCACAGGTCTCTACTGCTGTGGTGGAGCCCTACAACTCCATCCTCACCACACATACCACCCTGGAGCACTCAGATTGTGCCTTTATGGTGGACAATGAGGCCATCTATGACATCTGCCGCAGGAACCTGGACATCGAGCGCCCAACCTACACCAACTTGAACAGACTCATTAGCCAGATCGTCTCATCCATCACAGCATCACTGCGGTTTGATGGGGCCCTGAATGTTGATCTGACCGAGTTCCAGACCAACCTGGTGCCCTACCCTCGCATCCACTTCCCACTGGCCACCTATGCCCCTGTCATCTCTGCAGAAAAGGCATACCATGAGCAGCTCTCAGTGGCCGAGATCACCAACTCCTGCTTTGAGCCATCCAACCAGATGGTGAAGTGCGACCCTCGCCATGGCAAGTACATGGCCTGCTGCCTGCTGTACCGTGGTGACGTGGTGCCCAAGGACGTCAACGCCGCCATCGCCACCATCAAGACCAAGCGCAGCATCCAGTTTGTGGACTGGTGCCCCACGGGCTTCAAGGTAGGCATCAACTACCAGCCTCCCACCGTGGTGCCAGGAGGGGACCTGGCCAAGGTGCAGCGCGCCGTCTGCATGCTGAGCAACACCACGGCCATCGCCGAGGCCTGGGCTCGCCTGGACCACAAGTTCGACCTGATGTACGCCAAGCGAGCCTTCGTGCACTGGTACGTGGGGGAGGGCATGGAGGAAGGGGAGTTCTCCGAGGCCCGGGAAGACATGGCTGCTCTGGAGAAGGATTATGAGGAGGTGGGCCTGGACTCCTACGAGGATGAAGAGGAGGGTGAGGAGTAGAGAAGCCCCCACCAACAAGGACCGTGCTCCTTCCCTGTGTTACCTGCAGAGACCCTTTGCAATAAACCATCTCAGAGCCCCCATGTCTCCCACTAACCCCCCAGCTGTCTCGGTTTCTTGCCAGGTCAGGTGTGTGGTGAGTGCTTCAGCTCTGCTGCTGGTGCGGCTATGCTTCCTCCCAGTACTCTCCCAGCTACAGCTTTGCTCCCTGTGCAGGTAAGAGCCCCTGGGTCCACTCTGAGGGCCATGGCACACATCCCATCCCACTCACTGGTCCAGCTGGTGGTGGATATTGCTTCCTTATGTGGTGTATACCCTGTGGTACATGGCCCCATGTTGTACCCTGGAGCTCAGGGGAGCAGGTTTAGCCTGAGCAAGAAAATACTGGTAGCTGCTGAGACTTCTCCCTGTTTGCAGCCTGAGGATTTGAGGGCCTACCTGGAAGGATAGTGGTTGAAGCAGTGGGTGCAGCCTGACACCCCTGTCCCTGTGGCCAAAGTGCAGGACAAGCAATGTGCTTGGCTCTGCGGTGCAGCAGGTGCACCCCACAATAGCATCCAGCATGGCATAAACCCCGTGGCTGCTTTACTGCTGTGTTGTGTTGAGAGGATTAAAGGTGGGGAGCACTCCCTGTGAAACTGCTTGTCTGCATCTCTTTTTTTTACTCCCCGTCTATGGGCAGCCCATCTGCTCCACGTCCCAGTGAGCATTTCCAGACAAGGGTGCTGTTGTGCTGTGGGGTGTCCGCAGGCTCTGCTCACTCCCATCCGCTGCGGCAGGGCTCTGGCAGCTCCTGGCCTGGGCATCCACCTCCCTCTCCTTGGGCACCAGATAAGTTCTGCCTGTTCTGCCACTGCCTGCCTATGCTGTGCCCCTGCTTGTAGTGCCCAGCCCCAGAGGCTCTCAACAGCAGTGCATCGCTGCAGCTGTAGAGTTGTGTTAACTCCCATCAGCAGCGTGCTGGGGCCATGGATTAACTTTCCCTGCTTACTGCTAATGCTCTGGCTGTGCTGGCCCAGTGGGGCTGTCCTTAGCTGTCCTCCACTATCCTTCCCCTCCAGCAATGCTTGGCTGCTTAACCCAGACAGCATGCCCTGCTCTCCTAATGCTCCTGGCGGGATCCCCTCCCCGTAGACAGGGACACATCCACCTCTGCAAGAACATCTTTTACTCCAAACACAAGGCAATGTTGGTGCCTGTGGCAATGTGGGAGCAGTGGCAGAGCAGGTGCTGGAACCCCCTGCCTTGCTGCAGCACAGCACCAGGACCCCAACTGCAGCTCTGCCCTGGCAGGGAGCAGCCCTCCTGGGGCACAGCAGCACTGCAGGGCCACTGCTGCCATCACCCTGGGGAGGTCCCACAGCACACTCCTCTGTAACCCCCGGGGCAGCCAGGGCCCTGTGTTTAGCAGCAGGTCACATGCCCACAGTTCTGGAACACAGACCAAGTCCCATGCAGCAGCATCCAGGGCACAGAACACTCCAAATACAACACATCCCAACAAAGAGCAGCAGCTCTCCCCTGACCACAGCAATCCTCTCTGCAATGGCTCCATGGGGCAGCTGCTTTTCCCCTGGGTCAGCTTCAGGTGCGTCGCCGCTTTGGGGTGGGACAGGCTCAGATCTGTGTGGTGTCCTGTCCCGCTGGCACTGGCTGCAGCCCCTCCAGCTGGTGGAGGATGTCGTTTATGCTGGGTCGTTCCTGGGGGTTCACTGTCATCATGGATGAGAGCAGGCGCTGCAAGGCAGCCGAGTACCTGGAAGACAAATGGTGAGGTGGGTGTCCATGTGGTGTGCAACACAGGAGGCTGCCTGGGAGCAGGGTTACCCTCCTCAGCCCCTCACCTGGTTGTGGAGGGCACAGTGATGGGGTTCTGCACTGCCAGAGCCACGCTGTCGCCTTTCTGGAAGATGGCATCATAGGGGCCCTCCCCAAACATCATGCAGTACAGCACACAGCCTAGGGACTGGAGCATGGTGGGGGGTCAGAGCTGTCCCACAGCAGTGGGGGACAGGGACCAGGGGTCCAGATCCTTACCCAGATATCCGTGCGCTCATCTATGATGCACTGGCTTGGCACCGTGAAAAGCTCGGGGGCACGGTAGGAGATGGTGCAGCGCTGGGCAGCCCAGTCCTGCAGAGAGGAGGGTGAGGATGAAGGGCCCAGGAACGGGACAGGCTGGTGGGGCGATGTCCCAGACAACCCACCTGCAGGGCCATGGCCTCCCGAGAGTTGCTGACTTCGATGCGAGCTTGGTTCATGGAGCCCAGGTCCATCAGTACAGGCCGGTCATCTTCATCCAGCAACACATTGGTGGGCTTGAGGTCCCTGTGCGGATGGATGTCACTGACTGCCCGCTCAACCCCCTGCCAACCCCCCAGCTGAGGCTGCCAGCCCCCACCTGTGTGCATAGCCCTTGCTGTGGATGGCTTGCAGGCCACTGCAAATGCTATGGAGGATGAGAAGGATTCGCTGCTCTGGCATGAAGGTCCCTTTCTTTCGCAGTGCTTCCACCTCACTCCAGAGGGTCCCCCCCTGGCAAATGCAAGCAGACGGTCACCACAACTGCTCCTGGTGTCAAGGGGGTCGGGGACAGCTGGGGGACCTCCCGTCACCTTCACGTAGGGCAGGAGGAGCCAGGCTTCGTGCTTGGCACCCTTCTCCACCATGCAGTGGGCCACCAGGCGCAGGATGTTGGGGTGGTCGAAGAGGCCATGCATCTCCACCTCGTGCAGGGCAGCCTGGTGGTCCTCCTTGTCATGGCATAGGATGCGCTTCAGGGCATAGAAGCGCCCATCCCGCAGGCCTTCCACCAGGTCCACATAGCTGAAGCCCCTGCAAGGTGACGAGCACAGTGTGGGTCAAGTGTCACACTGCTGTGGCACCCGCATCGGGACCACAAGTGTGAGCACCAAGAGGAGGGGAGCACAGGGCAGTGGGTGCCTGCACCCCTCTCCATGAGAATACCCCAAACATGCACGTTCCCCCTACCTTGGGGACACATGCCAGACATCCAAAGTATCCCCCTCTCTGCATGAACAACCCCACTGGTCCAATCACCCCTACTCCCATGCGTCCAAACACCCACTCCTGGGCATGACTGAGCCCTGCCTCCTAGCATGAGAATACTCTGCCATACACAAGCACCCACTATGTTCAAGCATCTTCCCTCACCACACTCAAGTATCACTCCTAACAAGCACAAACGTTGCCTGCGTTCAAGCATCTTTGCACCATGCTCAAGCATCCCACACACACCTAAGCTTACCCTGCCTGCCTGAGCATTACCCCCATGCCCAAACATTTCTTATAACTGAGCACACCCTCATCCCCCATCCCCTATGTGCACGCATCACCCCCACACCCAAGCAGCCCCCCCATGCTTGAGCATCCCCCCGGGCACAAGCACCCCCATGCCCGAGCAGCCCCATGACAAACCATTCCTCCATGCCCAAGCATCCCCCAATGTCCAAACATACCCATGCCCAAGCATCCCCCCGTGCACAAGACCCCCCATGCCCGAACATCCCCTATGCCTGAGCATCCCCCCCCACGTCCGAGCATCCCCTCACGCCCAAGCCCCCCCGGTGACCGAGCCCCGCCATTGCCGCCCCGCTCGCACCCCTCCGCCAGCCGGTGCAGAACCAGGTACCGCGCTCCCCCCAGGCTGACGGTGCCGCGCGAGCAGACGCACAGCGCCTGCCCCATCGCCCGCCCGCGTCATCGCCCGCCGCCGCGCGTCACCCGTTGCGTCACCCGTCGCGTCACCCAGCGGGCGGGGCACTGCCGCCTGCCCGGTGCCCGCTGCGGCGCGGAGGGGGTCTCACGTTCGGGACCCGGCGCGCTCACTCCGCATTGAGACCGGGGTGGAACGCGGTGCGGCGGCATCCCCCGCCTCCGAGCGGTGCGGGAGAGCAGCAGCACCCCCGCAACCGCGGCTGTAACCGAGGCTCCACCAGCTCTGATGGAACAAGTGGGCTGAGCTCCCTCGAGGGCGTTTTGACTGGTGGTGACACTTCCGAGGCTCCTTGTCCCGCCACGTGTGTCACCCACCACCCCGGGGGGCACCGCGGATGTGCGGAACCGGCTCGGGGTGTGGTGGGCTGCCCACATCCCATGCTGGGTGGGCTCTGGAGGGCTGATGTGCAGCTGGGACCACGCACAGGGGGCCAGAGCTGCTCACCCGCTATGCGATGTTCCCCCCAGGCTGTGCTGCTGCTCCCGCTCCCTGCTTGTAGGACCTGGAGGAAGCGCCCGGTACCTGTCACGAAGGATCATGTGACGGGGGTGTCCACGTCCGCCTTTGTCCCTCCTGCCGGGCGCCCAGCAAGGATGGCTCTTACCCTGCTGCTGGCGGCGGGGCTCCTGCACGCGCAGGTTAGCGAACACGGGCGGAAAGTTTGGGAGAGGTGCGGGGGCTGAGCTGTGAGGGATCCGGTGGGATGGCTCCCGGATCTGCCGTGTCTCTGCTCTTCCTGCTGTGGCTCCTTCTGCTGCACAATGTCCCCCTTGCACTCCCTGCACCCGTCCCCAGCTGCATGCATCCCACAAACTGCTGCAAGCCCAGCTGCAGGATGTTTGATTAGCGAGGGGGGGCACCAGGTGGTGTAGATGACTGCCCTGCTTGTCCCTCCTGCTCTCCCAGGACAGCATGGTGTCCGCCTTGTCCCTGCCGCGAGGATGGAGAGTCCTCCCCGGGAACCAGTCCCATCAGTCCCTGTCCCAGCATGGGAGGGGGTGGCTGGGCTTCTGGAGGGTCTGCAGCCACCCCCAGCACTGCCCCTCTGCCTCAGGCCTCCCCCCTGTCACGCTCCTTTGAGCTGGATTATGAGGAGGACTGCTTCCGCAAGGATGGTGTTCCTTTCCGCTACATCTCAGGCAGCATCCACTACGCCCGTGTCCCACGCCCTGCCTGGAGGGACCGGCTCCTCAAGATGTACATGAGTGGGCTGACCGCTGTGCAGGTGTAAGTGACGGGTCACAGCCCACAGCTGCCCCTCAGTGTCTCTGGGGTTCTTGGAGCAGAGACAGAGGCAAAGGTGCTGTCCAATCGCAGTCACTTTTTGCTTTGGGCTGACTACAGCTCACAGGACACCCCTGCCAGACATGGATGAGGCTGGGCTGGTCCCAGTGCATCCCCATTTGCCATCCTCTGATCAGGCTGGAAGTGAGTTCCCAGGAGCAGAGGGACCAGCCTGTGGGATGGTTCCCCATAATACTGCAGTGCCCATAGCCCTCATGTGCTGATCTTTCCTCTCACCCCAGCTATGTCCCTTGGAACTACCACGAGCCATGGCCAGGGGTTTATGACTTTGTGGGGGACCGGGATGTGGAAGCTTTCCTGGACCTGACAGCAGAGCTGGGGCTGCTGGTGATCCTGCGGCCGGGGCCCTACATCTGTGCAGAGTGGGAGATGGTGAGCCCCAGACCCCAGCCTGGCAGAGAAGGGTAATGGGTGGTCTGGGAAGGGGATGGGTGCTCCGACTCTGCTGCCAGGCCAGCCATGCCCAGGCTGCTGCCATGTGGCACACATGGCACTTTGGTGCTGAGGATTAGCAGTGCGCTGACCGGGTTTCGGCTGTGTGCCAGCGTGGGCTGCTGAGCAGTTCCTCTGCCTCCCTCCCTGCTGTGCATGTTTCCTCAGGGTGGCCTGCCCTCCTGGCTGCTGTGGAAACCAGACATTGTGCTGCGCTCCTCCGACCCCGGTGAGCCTTGGCATGGGGCTGTGACCACCATGTCCTCAGAGCCTGGTGCCAGTTCCCATGCACCTGCCTGCATGGTCTCCCCCATCCTCTTCTGTCTTCTTCTTGGGAGCCCTGAAGTTTGTCCTCCACCTCCCCCATCACATTTGGCCCTGCCCCTTACTCCTCCTGGCAGGGCTGGCTGTGTGTGGGCTGGGGTGGACACTGCAGCCAGGTGAGCTGTCCTCTGTCCCCCCAGCCTACCTGGCAGCTGTGGACTCCTGGCTCCATGTCCTGCTACCCAAGATCAAGCCACGCCTATACCAGCATGGGGGGAACATCATCAGCGTACAGGTAGGGTGCTGTAGGGCCTGGCCCCCTGCCCTATCTGGGTTGCCTTTGGATGTGCCCCCAAAAGCCACCTGTGCCCCCTACACCATGACCTCATCTGGCACAGCTTGCTTAGATAAATCCCGCCCAGCCTCTAGGCCTGGCTTTCAATCCAAGGGCTGGGACTCTGGGGTACCCATCAGAACCCCAGCTGTGGTCTGAGGGACACTGGCAGAGCTGGAGGTCATGGTGGGGCTGGAAGGTTGTTCTCAGGATCCACCTGGGGACTGTCATGACATCTGATGATGTCAGGAGGGAAGGGGGCAGCTGGTGCTCGTCCCAGTGGGCAGGGGGACCTGCCATGTATATGCTGGGTACCAGCCCCTACCCTGTGTGCAGGTGGAGAATGAATATGGGAGCTACTACGCCTGTGATTATGGGTACCTACGGCACCTGCTGGGCTCCTTCCGGGCGCTGCTGGGGAGCGAGGTGCTGCTCTTCACCACCGATGGCACGCGGGCAGAGGAGCTGCACTGCGGCACGCTGCAGGGGCTCTACGCCACCATCGACTTTGGGCCAGGTACCCCTCAGCGTGGGGGGGCAGGAGATGGGGTGAGAGTCCCTGCTTTGTCCCTCTCCAACCTCCCTCCCTGCACTTCCCCAGGCTCCAATGTGACGGAGGCATTTGGAGCCCAGCGCTGGGTTGAGCCAAAGGGGCCCCTGGTGAGCTTGACATTAACCCCCACTGTGGGGGGGCAATGACACATCACAGCTTTGGGGAGGTGGATGGCTGAGGGGGCAAGGCTACGGGTGACAGAGGCTGACAGAGGGGTGACAGGAGCTCTGGGCAGGTGACAGTCTCTTTGGTCCCCAGGTGAACTCCGAGTACTACACAGGCTGGCTGGACTACTGGGGGGAGGCTCACACCAGCACCAGCTCGGTGCATGTGGCCCGGGGGCTGGAGGACATGCTGCAGCTGGGAGCCAGTGTCAACATGCAAGTAGTCAGCTGGTGGGGCACAGCCTGGGGGGGTTTGCCCTCCCATCTGCAGCACTGGAGTGGGCATTGCTGCTTGCCTTCATCCCACAGGCCTCAGCAGGCAGGGCTGGCACTGGGCACAGCAGGGCATGATCAGCCCCTGCTGGGTCTGTGGGGTGCTGATGGGGCTCTCTGGGGTGTCCCGTAGGTACATGTTCCATGGAGGGACAAACTTTGCCTACTGGAGTGGTGAGTAGGTGGCTGCCCTAGGGAGGGGGTGCATGCTGCAATGCTGGAGGGCTTTTCTTGGCTATCTCTGAGGAGGCTGCTTTAGGCTCCTGTTCTGTCCCATGGTGCGTTCTGACCCAAGGGCCCCTGAACCCAAGCTTGTCCCTCCCTTGTGACTCCTTTTGTCCCCAGACAGAGACTCCCAGTTCTGGGTCATGCCCCTCCATTGCATTGCAACCATGGAATGCAGAGCTCACTGGGTTCCATGCCCTGAGCTCTGGCAGAGCCCCTTCCTCCAGCTCCCATCGCTTCCCTGGCCAGGTGCTGACTTCAAGGACCGGTACAAACCAGTGACCACCAGCTACGACTATGATGCCCCACTCTCGGAAGCAGGAGACCCCACTGAGAAGCTGTTTGCCATCCGCACGGTCATCAGCAAGGTGCTGAGCCTGGCAGGAGGAGGAGGACAGTACTGGGCACCACTGCCCGTGCTAAGGCACAGCGGGACAAGGAGCTTGCAGGGAAAGGGATGCCTCCTGCTTGCCCTGGGGGGCAGCTGACAGCTTGCTCTTCAGTTTCAGCCCCTGCCAGCTGGCCCGATGCCACCCGCCACCCCCAAGTATGCCTATGGCCAGGTGGCCCTGCAGAAGGTGAGCACCTGCTCTTGGGGCTGTGCTGCCCTGCCTGGCACTGCCTGGCTGCCCAGCGCCCAGCCCTCTCTTTGCAGCACGCTGACCTCCTGGATGCCTTGGATATGCTGTGCCCCTTCGGGCCCATCCAGAGCCGGTTCCCCCTCACCTTTGAGGCCATAAAGCAGGTAGGGGATAGATGCAGCAGAGACACTGAGGGAGATGCTCCTAGGCTTGTTTGCCGTGCCCTGGCTTTGAGATGGAGGAGCAGAGCTTGTCTTCGGCCCTGTTTCACTTTCTGTACCCTCTGCTGTGTCCCACAGGCCCATGGATTTGTGGTGTACCGCACACAGCTGCCCCGGGATGTCCCGGACCCAGCCACGCTGGGCGCTCCTCCCCACAGCATCTGTGACCGTGGCTATGTGATGCTGCAGAAGGTGAGGATACAGGAGCACAGCCATCCCTTGCCCAGTGCTCAGGAAGCCTCTGGGTTCTGCTGGCAGCAGGGCTGTGCCATTCCAGAGGCTCAGGAACAGGCAGGGTGCAGAGCCACACTGAGCCCTTGTGTGGTAGTCCTCTGGCACAAATTTGCCCCCTTCGGGGTTAGAGGGCAGCCCTGGGCTGGCTCTGGGGAGCAGGATGTTACAGTGGCAGGCTGTCAGCAGGGTTTGGGGTGGTGCGATGTGGCCATGCGGCACCAGTGCTGACCCTGTGGCTGCAGGAGTACTGTGGGACACTGGAGAGGGATGGGCAGACAACACTTCGTGTGATGGGGAGAGCAGGGGACACCCTGGATGTGCTCCTGGAGAACATGGGCAGGATCAGCTTCGGGGCCAACACCAGTGACTTCAAGGTGAGGGCAGTGGGTCCTGGGGCTCTGGATGGGATGGCCTGGCCACCTGTGTGGCCGAACAGCCCCTCTTCTGCCATCCACAAGACCTTGGCCATGGCAGGGCCAATCCAAACCTGCTTCCTGGTCAATCTCACACCACCCTTGGCAAACCTACCAGGATAAGGCTGTAAGGTGGGCACCCCTCTCTCTCATTTACACTGCCACAGCAGCCAGGGCTGCATAGCCCCTTGGAAGTGATCCCATTCCACCTTCACTGTCGCGAAGGGCACATGCCCCGGGGAAACCAAGGGTGCTCCTGCCTTGGCACAACCTGCTGCATTATTTTCCTTCCTGCTCCATCTCAGGGCTTGCTGGGGAACCTCTCTTTGGACTCCAGTCCTCTCAGCAACTGGCTGATCTATCCCCTGGACATAGACACTGCTGTCCAGCAGGGCTGGCCCCACGCTGCCCTGCCAAAATCAAGTAGAAGGGGCAGAGCAGGGCCAGCCTTTTACACTGGGACCTTTGAGACCCCTGGCATCGCCTGGGACACCTTTGTGAAGTTCCCAGGTTGGAGCAAGGTAAGGTGGTGTGTATAGCCGGGAAAGGGAGTGAGGGTGAACAGCAGCACAGCTTGGTTCCATATTTATCTTTCAGGGCCAGCTATGGATAAATGGCTTCAACCTGGGCCGGTACTGGCCCCGCCGTGGGCCCCAGCAGACCCTCTTTGTACCAGGCTCGGTACTGCACGTTGGCCACCCCAACAACATCACAGTGCTGGAGCTGGAGGGTGCACCCTCCACTCCTCTCTTGCTCTTTCTAGACCACCCCCTTTTCAACAGGACCCTCAGCCACAGCACTGCGGCCACAGAATAAACACTAGGCTGCCAGGCAGCAGTGTCACCTCTTGATGGGGCTGTAGAGATGCACAGGGAGGAGCAGAGAGGCTGCAGAGCCCTAGGAAAGGGGCACATGTCCTGGCATGGACATCCCGAGCTCCTGCCCTCCTCTGGGGCAAGGCAGGGGAAAGGGGCCCAGGACTGAACTCTTTTTTGCATGTTAATCTCACACTTGTCCAAAATCGTTCCAGGGCTCATGCTGACTCCCCCACACACCTCGGGGGTCAAGGCACCTCTTTATTGCTAATGCAGACAGAGGAGGTAGTTGCTAACATGATACAGCCAAGACATTAATGGCATCCAGGAGAGGGGAGGGCAAAGCACAGCCTAGATGGCACCCAGAGGCATGGCTGTAAGTAGCCCAGAGCTGCATGGTCTGCATGTGTCAGGCTCTGTCCCACCACCACATACAGCAGCCTATGAGGTAGCCATGAGAAAAGCTGGCAGCAGGACACCTGCCACAGAACAGTCCTGCCTCCTCACAGTAGCCCATGGGAACCGCTCAGCTGTAACATCCCCACTGGGATACTCATGCCCAGAGCCTTGCCAGTTGCACCAGAGTGTGACGTGGCCAACTCAGTCCCCTGGACCAACACTGCTCTGCAAGTGCTTCCAGTGCTCTGCAAGTTCTGAATGCCCCCACCCCACCGGCCCTTGGCAGGTAGCAGCAGCCCCCAGCCTTATGTGTGGGCAGCCCGAGCCCGGCGGTGTGTTTGCAGGCAGGCTGTGGAGCAGAAGGAGAAGTCGAGGTAATGGAAAGGGATGCGGCCCAGGAGGGACTCTCCACAATGCCAGCAGCGGCTGCAGGAAAGAGCAGAGGTGGCTCTGAGTGAAGGGGTCGCTGGCAAAAGAGAGGAGGGGATTCACTGCCTGAACTGTGACGAGACACCAGGAGCATGGTGTGAGGCACTTCAAGGCAGGCTGAACATGGGGGAAATCTGGCCCCATAAGGGGTTGTAAAGCCCCTGCCCAGATCAGCATGGGCAGGGCTGGCTGCCCATAAGCCTGTGTGGTGGCACACAGGGAAGGGACATGGTATGTGAGATCAGGGACAGGGGCACAAGAGTGGTTGGGGGGGTTGGCTTGCCACAGATCTGGCTGCAAGTGGATCAAGGTGACCTTCACAAAACATCGGGGGGGGGGGGGAAGGGGGCAGGGCACGAGGGAGAAAGGGAGAAAGCTTTTACACAGGGGTTAATAGGAATTGAGTGGACCAGAATAGCTTTAGACTGGAAATGAGAATTGGAGCAAGAAGGGCAGGGAACAGCTGTGCTGGCATTGGGGTCTGTAAAGTAATGCTGCTGGGGCTGTTACCTGACGTTAGCAAGAGTTGTGCCAGTGTCCTGCAGCTGCACAGCCAGCCTCCGCTCAGCAGCCAGTGCCCTCTGGGGAGCAGAGACACAGCTTAGTCCCCCACGGAGCCCACCACACTGACTGCCCCAGCTGGGCTGGATTCCTCATGCATGGCCTCACCTTCTCCCTGTCGGACAGGGCTGCGAACCGCTGCTTCTCCACCTGCTCCTGCTCCTGGCGCTGCCGCTCTTCCCGCTGTGCCTGCTCTCGCTGCTTCCGCTGCGCCTTCTGTGCCCGCTTCTTCTCCAGCTTCTTGGCCTCCATCTCCTGTGTCAAGGGCCCTGGCACCTGCGGGCAGAGGGCAGTCAGTATCTCCCACTGCACCATGAGCAGTGGCAGAAGTGAGCAAGAGGTGTTTTGTTCTGGGGTCCCCCAGCCCCTAGAAAGGGAGAGCACCCACCTTGGCACGGCTGTAGTCATACTTGTCCGGGTGGTCCACCATGAACTTGCGGAAGGTGTTGCGGGTCAGTTTGTCAGCAGAGACACAGTACGGGGTCCTCTCCTGATCATCTCTGAAGACAAGGAAGACCAGCTCACTCTGCTGTCCCATGGGGCTTTGAGCCCAGCGACTCCCCAGAGATGTGCAACAGGTACTGCAGGCCAGGCTATTGCTGCCAAGGACAGAGAGTTGCTTATCCCTGCAGCAGAATACCCTAAATCCTTCCCTTTTTGCATCTGAAATGCCCTGAAAAGGGTGGTCTGATCCCTACCCTCTGGACTGCCTACCAATAAACCTGGGAGCACTTTGGGGCAGTGCCTGCCCACTGCTGTACCAGACCAGGCAGGCAGAGAACAGTGGTTCAGCTCTTATGCCTCCTGTAACAAACCAAGACATCCCATCTGGCAGACACCAAGCCTGGCTGTCTCAGAACAAGGCTGGTACCAGTCTCCCTTAGCTGAGACAGGAACGAGCCACTGGGCTCCCACAGCAGGGTTGTGCTCCTCAACCACTGGGCACCCTGCAGCCGTACCTGAGGGCAGGGTCCGCTCCTGCCTCCAGCAGCAGGCACACAGCCTCAGCCTTCCCTGCCCGCGCTGCCACGTGAAGCAGGGTGCAGCCGTGCTCATCCATGGGCTGATTGAGCAGGGAGTGTGGCATATCCAAGGGCTGTGTGCCCTCCCCACCCTTGCTGGCCCCTGACAGGGCCCTGTGCTCTGGTACACCCAGGAAGTGTCGCAGCATCCCCACATCCCCCGTTTTGCAGGCGGTGAACAGGGCATCACGGACCTGGGTCTGAGGGTTGCCTGTAAGGGAAGAACAAGAAGGGAGTCTGATGGCTCCCCGAGCAGAATGGTGCTCTGGTATGACTAGGAAGCACACATGGCACAGTTAAAGAACTGTCCTGCTAGCTGGATTTGGGCACTGCAGGATCTCCAGCACCATCAGAGTCTGTGACAATATGTCATGGCATTGCTTGGCACTGCTGGCAGCAGTTGAGCCCTCTCCCGAGATGAGACCCACTCCAATTCCCCCAACACTCCTGACTTAGCCAGGTGCTGACCATCCCCTGAGTTCAGAGCTACTGCTCTGTACACAGGGCTCACTCAAAGGCATTTAGGTTCACAACAGCCATTCCACACACAGTTGCTCTGGGCACCTGTGTGACAATGAGCTCTCCACCCCACTGCAAAGCCACCAGGAAATGGGGCAGGCACTCACCCAGCCCAGCTCCAGACCCTAAGTACCTCCATTGTCCCAGGGAAGGGGCTCAGCCTCCCCTTGCAGCTCTGTCACCAGCTCCAGGCCAGGGTGTCCGCACTGGGTACCATGGCATCGCATCTCTTCAGCACAGGGACCTGCACAGGGAGCACATGGTGAGGGAAAGGGCATGGCAGCCTTCTGCATGCACCCCAGACATGGCAGTCCCTTCCCCTACACCTTCCTACACTGCCCCCAGCCCCTCACCTTTCTCCACCTTCTTGTCCCTCTTCTTCCTCTTTTTGCGGTTTCGCTTGCGCATCACCTCGAACTCCCGGAGGTCCAAGGTCCCAAGTGTCACTTCCACAGTCTCCAATTCCCCTGCAGGGCTTTCTTCCTCCTCTTCTTTCTCCTCCTCTGGGGCTGAGGGGGATGGTAAGACAGGGGCTGAGGCCCCCCCCCCCCAGCACAAATCACTGGTCTCAGCCAAGCACACCCTGCCCTTCTGCCCAGCACAAGTTCCCACCCCGCAAATCCCCACTGTGGTGCCAGGCCTTGTCACAGCGCTGCAGATCTGGTTCTGCATCGTAATACCAGACCCCCATGCTTGCTCAGAGACACATCTCCTTCCATGGCTCAGCTCACCACTCATGTCGTCCTGCGGGGGATCCACCTCTACTTTCTGCCGCCTCTTCTGCCAGCCCTTCCGGGGGGACCCAGTGATATCCTCCAGTGGCGTGTCCTTCCCTGGGCAGCAAGGGTGCTCCTGTCATTGCCTGGGCACATGGAGCACCCCATGGAGACCTAGCACCTCTACCCCATAGGCAGCATCCGCTAGTGCACAAAGGACCACATCACCCTACCTGCTCTGACCCACAGTCCCTGGGGCTGGTCAAACTCACCATACACCTGCAGGCTGGCCAGCATGCTGTGGACTCGCAGCACCTCTCGCAGGGTGGCCCTGCGGGTGCTGAGGGGGATGTGGAAGATGCGAGGGTCGCCCCAGCTGAGGGGTGGGTTCCTGCCACTAAAGAGCAGTGCACGGTTGTGACGAGGGGCCCGCAGGAAGATGCGCTGAGCTTCATTGAGGTGCTGTGCCCAGGCCAACAGCAGGTCCTGAATATCCTGGGGAGGAAGGGGAGGCACTGTGGAGTACTGAGCACACTGCGTGGATACAGGTAGCTCTGGAGCAGGAACAGACCCAGGACAGAGCAGCCTCAGTTGAGCCCTGACTCTCAGCGCTCACACCCCACCCAAGTTCTCCAGCAGCTTTGTGGTGGCACCTCTCAAAGCCAGCCACAGCCATGTCTCCCTGCCCAAAGCCCCGTGCTGTGGTGCATCCTCACCTTGAGCAAGGCAGCCTCATTGTAACGCCGCAGGGAGGCTCCAGCTGATCTGGGTGCCGACCCTGGGGTGTGGGCATCCCACAGGCTCTGGGCTGTGCCCCGCCGGGCTCGCACTGTGTAGCGGTGGAATGTCTTGTGCTCCTGCACCTGGGGGCTGTGGAGAGGGGCAAGCATGAGCAACAGGGCCCATTCATGCAGAGGACCTGATGCTCCTGGGACCCTGGAGGGCTTGTGGCTTGTCCCTGGGGTCCTAAAGATTAGTATTTCTTTAGCAGCACAACTGGGTTTAGTCAGCTTTCAAGCAAAGACTGGCAGCTGTGGGTTCCCAGGGTGTGGTAAGCACTGTGACAAAGGAGTGCACGGAGGGCTGGCCATTCAATGCCCAGTGCCACTGACCATGTTCAGAGGGGCAATCCCAGCTCTGTACCCCTGTACTCACCCTCGGAACACAGCTCCTGCGAAGTGCCCGCCACCCATCATCAGCACAACCCAGCATGTGCTCGCATCGAGGCTCTGCAGTGATGCTGCCAGCTCCACTGGCTCCTCTCTGCCACCCTAATACATAGACACCCTTGCTAGCACCCATGGGTTCACCTTGTTACCTCTTGCTGTCCCCCAGGATAGAGACCAACCCCTCTGCCAGCACCAGAAGCAGGTTTCTGGAGCAGCTCAGCATTAAAAACCAGACGACCAGCAAGCCTAGGGCTTTGACCTGATACCACAAACCACCCTTCCCACCATGGCACGTGGGGGAGGGGGGGACTGTCAGACAGACGACTACACCCCAATGCCACCTATCTCCTCTGGGGTCCCTCTCCCAACAACCTGGGCTGTGACTTGCCTTCCCGGTGCCCAGCACGCAGCGGTAGGCAGAAATGAGCTGGCCCTCTGCATTGCGGAACAGCACCTTGTGGGAACGTGGGATCTGGAGGGTCCCAGGACTGTTGCTGGCAGAGGGCAGCAACTCCGACTCACTGCTTGAATCAGAGTTCTCTGAATCGGACCCCGAGATGCTAGAGACACTACCTGCAAGGGAGATAAAATGAAGCACTACGGCTAGGCAAGGATTAAACAGCAGCCTCCCCAAAATCTTGCAGGTGACTCCAAAAGCTAGCCCAGAACCCTGTACACGTCCTGTCCAATACAGGGGTCTGGGGCTCTAGCCCAAAGACTCCCTGCCTAGGCAAAGGCTGAGGTAGAACACCCTCTTCTCCCCATAACAAGTCAGCAGGGCTTAGGAGCAGTGGTGCATTCCCAGAAAACTCCAGAGGGGCAGAACAAAGGGACTCTGAGGCAGCAGAGGTACCCAAACGTTTCACCACTGGACAGACTGGCCGCAGCCCCTGGGCTCTGCTGGGATAGCTCCATTCTTCACCTGCACGGGTCTTCTCCTCAAACGCTTCTACTGGCAATGTCTGGCGCCCCAGGAGCCGCTGCTTTAGGTTGAAGCGATGCCAGTCGAGACGGTAGTGCTCAGTCTATGGAAGAAAGAGGTATGAGCCAGCAGGGTCTTGGTCCATGGAAACCCCCACCACCAAAGGGCCTGAGGTGACAGACCCTGAGGGCTGAACTGATGATTGTACCCTACAGTGATCCAGACTGGAAGACTACATTAAGTAGTTAGCCACCTAACAATTAACCTGAAAAGGCATAGGCCTGTGCTGCATGTACTGTTTACCTCCAGTAGATGACATTTTAGGCAATAACATGTAGTATTTAAGTACCAGATCCCAACAGGACACAGCCAGTGGAGCTCTGGGAAGCAGGCAGCATTGGGCTGCACCATGCTGGGGCTGAGCCTCTGCAGTAGGACCCCACCATCCTGCTCCTACTTTATGCTGGCTTCTCAGCCCCACTCACCTGCTCCTCCCGGCTGCTGAACACTTGCTCACAGGTGGAGCAGCACATCCGCTCTGGCACCGCATGGACCCCATGGGCTTTCTCCTCACTGCCAGCGGCTGCGGGTTTGTCTGGAAGAAGGAGGAAAGGCTGTGCACAGGTGGCTCCCCAGGCTGCACTGCAAAGAGCAGGGCCTCCTGGGTCTCTTTTCAGCCACGAAAAGAGCCCTATGGCTGTAGAAGGAACTTGCGGACCTTGGTACCCATCCACCAGGCAGCTCCCATGCTCCAGGATGGCCACTTAAGCTGTGCTGGGGACAGAGCTCCTTCTCTATGGCCGACAGGAGCTTGGGCGCACACTCCACCCCCCGCGGCCCCGCGGAGCCCCACTCACCGTGGCTCACCGGTGCCGGCTCGGCGCCCCAGGCCTCCGCAGCAACTCCGGTGAGGAGGGTGAGCCCGCGCAGCAGGACGGCGTCCTGGGCGGCCTCGAAAACCGACCTGCTCTCCGGGGCCGCCATCGCTCCTGCTCCCCGCGGAACGGACAGCGCCTGAGCCACGGGCCTGCACCCGGGGCCGCCGAGAACCACCCGCGGGTGACCGAGCGGGCCCTGTCTCCCCGCCTGACCGGGTCTCCCCCCCGGTCCGCGCCCCGCGGCGTCTCTGCAGCGGGACCCACCCACAGGCTCTGCCCCCGGGTCCCCCCACCCCGTTAGTGCCCCAGGGCCGTTATCGCCGCGATTCCTCCTTTGTCCCCCAGCGAAGCTGCTGACCCCATGGACCGAGCGAGCGACCCCCGCCGCCGGTAAAGGGGACACGCACCTTGTCACTCACGTGCAGCCGCCACCCGGAAGCACCACTCAGCTGTCAAACGTCACATCCCACCCGCCTATGGACCGCCGCTAAGCCCAGCCCGGCGCCCGCCCTCCGCTTTCCCATTGGCTGTGCCCTGACCCACCCCGCGCCTGCCATTGGGAGTCGCTGCTGCCAGTCACAGAGCGGACGGGGACCGAGCGGGCTGGGCCCGGGCCCGGGGCCGGTGGCGGCGGCGGGCGGTTCCGCCATGGCCCACTTCGAGACGCAGTACCAGCGCCTGGAGAGTTCCTCCACCGAGTCCCCGCCCGGTGGCGGCGATCTGCTCGTCCACGTCCCCGAGGGCGCCAAGTGTGAGCGGCGGCATCGGCGCCGGGGGTTGGGGCCTGGCAGCCGGCGGCGGGGGGGCGGCCCAAGGCTGAGGGGTGGGGGGACGGGAGGGTGAGGCAGTGGAGGCCTTGGAGGCCTTGGGGACCGGACTGCGGGGGGCTGGTGCGGGTGGCTGGGATGGGGGAGCAGCCGGGGACAGGGGGGGAGGCCGGTCGCGGAGCGGGATCGGGGGCTGTGGGGCCGGACAGGGGCCTCGAGGGCCCGGGGAAAGGTGGGGCTGTGCCTGTCACAGCAGCAAGGCTGCTGTTCCGGAGGGCCCCTCACCCTGTGTGCTTCCTCCGTCAGCTCCGTGGCATCACATCGAGAACCTGGACCTCTTCTTCTCTCGCATATCCTTTCACAGGGCTGGGGGCACCCACCACCTCCTGGGCTCACAGTGCTGGTGGGAAGCCTGGGCTTGGTGTGACTCGGAGCTGGGGCAGCACCTGCCCCTTCCCTTAGGACACCACACGGCTCTGGAGGGATTGGGGGCTGGCTGAATGCCCATACCTGTGGGGTGCTGTCACCCAACAGTGAGGGGACAGACAGGTTCTTTTAGGGATCCTTCGCACAGTGATGATGGTACTAAGTTATAGTTATAATTAAACCTTTATTTTCTTACCAGGGTTTTATTGTTAGCATACCACAGCATTTATAATCAGAGTAGCACAGCAAGCAGAATCAGTGCAGTATAACTTTACAAACAGTATAGTGCACTGCTTAACTTATGGTTTTTAATCACCAGAGCTTTCTGCAGACTGTGTCATATCTTAATGCGTGGTTTGCTGTATCAGTATAACAATCATCTATATTCAAAAACCATATAAAAGAATACGAGTCACTCAGTTGTCGGAGGAAGCAGATGATGGTGGGAGCATCCTGTCTACTGGAGGCTCCTGGTTTTCACTGTCCAGCAGCAGTTCGTCCAAGTTCCCACTTAGGACTTTGATTTTGTGGATAGTGATCCAGGTGCTGTTACAGTTCCCTGTTCTGTGATGGGGTTGTCACTGCCACCTTGTTGGCTGGGTGCCTGGGACCTTCAAGGCCAGCATGGAAGGGAGTAATCAGCCTGATGCTCTGGAATCTTAAGGCTGGTGTGGAGGGGAAGAAGAAATCTGTTTGGTTTGTCTACCTGGTTCACAGGACCTTCAGGGCCTGAATGGAGAAAGGAAACTAATGGGTGACCTGCTCAGTAACAGAGAATGCTGCTGGCCTTATAAAATGGCATTAGTTATGCTCTGGGGAGCTGCAGATGCCAGTGGGCCAGAAGCCTCCCCCTACTTCATCAGAAAGCAGGAGTCTCCAGACTGTTTTCCTTGACTGTGGCTTTCACGTCTATAACCTGCATCAGAAGAATGGCTTCACTTGCATGCTCATTGGAGAGATCTTTGAGCTCATGTAAGCGTAGGTTCCTTCTCTGTTGTGTCTGTGACAGCTGCTGGAAAGCAGCTACAAGAATTTGCTGAGCTCCTGCAGCTGGTAGGAGGGAAGGCTCCCTTTATAGTTGTCCTGTCTCTTCTTTGCTGTGATTTTCATGCCCCAAACCTACATTCCACTTTGTGAAACTTGTGCCCATGAGCTTTCCTATCGCCATGGTTGTGGGACTGCATCTCCATGACATGTAACCCTAGCCGCTTCACATTTTGAGAGGCAGAAGGATGATTCCCTGATGCCTGCTCCCTTTTTTTACAGGCAGTTCATCTTTGTGGTGGCATTCACCACCTTTCTTATCAGCTGTGTTGATTACGACATTCTCTTTGCCAACAAAGCAGTAAATCACAGCCAGCATCCCAGTGAACCCATTAAAGTGACTCTGCCAGATGCTTTCCTGCCTCCACATGTCTGCAGTGCAAGGTAGGGGCAGCAGAGAGGATGTTGGCCAATACTCTTGCTTTCTCAGGTACTCGGGGCACTTGCCTGAGCCTACTACTTGTTCCTTCTTGCTCGCAGAATCCAGGCAAACAGCTTCCTCATCTGCATCCTGGTGATAGCTGGGGTTTTCTGGATCCACCGACTTGTCAAGTTTATCTACAACATTTGCTGCTACTGGGAGATTCACTCTTTTTACATCAATGCCTTGAAAATCCCCATGGTAAGTAGCTGGGCCAAGAGCCACATACGATGCTGCTAAGGGATGCAGGAGGCATTTGTCGGGTGGTTAGAAGCAGCTCATTCTTTCTCCCCCAAGGCAGCTTCTCTGGGAGACCTCTTCCCTCTGCTCCCTAACTGCACTGACATCCTTTGAGTCTCTTCTCCAACAGCCAATTTATACCATGTTAACCCTTCTGCCCAGCTTGCCTCTGTGCTGCTGGCACACTCCTGTGCCATCTGCTACCCAATATGTTTATTTTTTAGTGATGGCCTTTTCTGTGATGCCTTTCAACAGAGAAAACATAAGCAAGGGTATTCTTGTACCTCCCTGGGTTGAGGACAGGTCATCTTCCTGGTTTACTGGGTGGGGGGGGCAACTGAGGCACAGAGCTACTTCAGTGGTGAAGATCAGTGTGTCAAAGATGGGCTCTGAGGCTTGCACATATCTCCTAGTCCAGAGTCCTTGCTCTGATGAACAACATCATCCTTTGAATGGAGACTGTGCCTTGAGAAAGGTGGCGTGAGCCAAGAGGTTTGGTTGCTCCCCACATTTTTCACAGGCTCCCTCTGGGACACTGCGTCCCTTCCCCTATTTGTGTCTTCCTGCTCACTAAATGGCAGCTCTGGGGGGACCCATGGGAACTGGAGCTCTGTTCGTGCCACTGAGGCAGCTGGTGTGTGAGTGACTGGGAAACAGTCATCTGTACTAATGTAGGCGTAAAGGGCAGTGGGGCAAAGTATGGGTTTTAGATGCTGCAGGCTGAAGCGGTGCAGGAGGTGCTTCATGTGCTGGTGGGGCATGTGAACGCCGTGGCGTGCACTGGGACATGCTGTTTGAAAGGGCTCACCCCAGCTTCTGTCCTGGGACTCATCCTGCCCTAACCTTGCCCCTTTCCCCCTTCCAGTCCACCCTGCCATACTACACGTGGCAGGAGGTGCAGGCCCGCATCGTGCAGATCCAGAAGGAGCACCAGATCTGCATCCACAAGAAAGAGCTGACGGAGCTGGACATTTACCACCGCATCCTCCGCTTCAAGAACTACATGGTGGCCATGGTGAACAAGTCACTGCTGCCTATCCGCTTCCGCCTGCCCCTGCTGGGAGACACTGTCTTCTACACACGGGGGCTCAAGTACAACTTTGAGCTCATCTTCTTCTGGGGGCCCGGTTCCCTCTTTGAGAACGAGTGGAGCCTGAAGGCTGAGTACAAGCGGGCTGGGAACCGCCTGGAGCTGGCTGAGAAGCTCAGCACTCGCATCCTCTGGATTGGCATTGCTAACTTCCTCCTCTGCCCCCTCATCCTCATCTGGCAGATCCTCTATGCCTTCTTCAGCTACACAGAGATCCTGAAACGGGAGCCGGGCAGCCTGGGTGCCCGCTGCTGGTCTCTCTATGGCCGCTGTTACCTCCGTCACTTCAATGAGCTGGACCATGAACTGCACTCACGCCTCAGCAAAGGGTACAAGCCAGCTTCCAAGTATATGAACTGCTTTATCTCCCCGCTCCTCACCATCGTGGCCAAGAACGTGGCCTTCTTTGCTGGTTCCATCCTGGCTGTGCTCATCGCTCTCACCATCTATGATGAGGACGTGCTGGCGGTCGAGCACGTGCTGACCACGGTCACCCTGCTTGGGGTGGGCATCACGGTGTGCAGGTGAGGTGGGTCTGTGCTGCCACTGTGCTCCAGGAAGCGCTGTGGGGAGCAGTGGGGCTGACAACCATCCATGTAAAATGCTCTTTGGTGGCAAGTGGATGTGAATCTGCCTGAGCGAAGGGCATGGCCTTGGAGAGTCAGGGGGCAGACAGGAGAAGGGGGATAGTGGTGAGCTTGGGTGCAGTGGTTGTACGATACAGGGGTGTTGCTGGAGCTATTCAGCAACAACCCGGGGTTGGGCTGGCAGGGAGGTTTGGCTTGGGTGTGAAGGCTATAGCTGGAGCTGTGATAAGGGCTGGTCACCCTGCCCTCCTAGGAAGTGATGCCTTGTTGTTTCCCTGTCCTGTCCTACAGGTCTTTCATCCCTGACCAGCACCTGGTATTTTGCCCAGAGCAGCTGCTGCGAGTCATCCTGGCACACATCCACTACATGCCTGACCACTGGCAGGGCAATGCCCACCGCTATGAGACCAGGGATGAGTTTGCCCAGCTCTTCCAGTACAAAGCAGTGAGATTGGCTTGTGTGGGGTTGGGATGGGGACTCGCCTACATCCTTGCAGAAGGGAGAAGCTGCCACGGAGCTGAGCAGCTCCTGGACTTGTAGAGGACAAGGCAGCGTTCTCAGAGACACCCTGCCCCAGAAGATAAGAGGGCTGGAGCTGGGGTCTGGCTTTGGTACTGTGGGATTTTTGA